CTTCCATCACATGGTTTAGTGCTTCCGAGAAGGATCTTCCCGCAGCACGGACTGATCATTGAGTCATTGTAGTGAGGAATAATGACAACATTATCATTACTGGTGTTCACTATATGGTCCGGGTCGATATCAGTCAGCATTTGTTGATTGAATCTCTTCTCTCTGTCCATTCCTTATCTAAATCCTGGAGTTTACGCAAGCACGGGCCGATGGACTCGCTGAGGAGGACATGTCTATTAGGTATGCAATAGACATCAACCACCACTCACGTGAATAGTGATTCAATCTTCTTCTCCATAAAACGGGCAAAGCTATTGAAACCAATATATTGCATGAACTGCTGTGACGCTCCTTTTGATTTCAACTCGGCAATATCTCTGTCATTCATCTCCTTCCTAAACCCCGATGGTGGCGATGAGTCTATCAAGATCTTCACAGGTACCTCAACTTAATGAATGGTTTTGGAGGACCACCGTGCTTCTCATCCCAAAACGGCAGTGTAAGGCAGAACTTAACTAGGTTGTCGGGCAGGTCACCATACCTAGAGCTCCATCCCACTAGCCCAGCCAAGACTACTGCTACTACTCACCCTCCCAGCCATTCGTTAACGCTCTGTGCTGTGAGGTCTCGGTAGTATCTAATAAGGACATGATGACAGCAGTATGATCACTCTGCTAGTCTGACTTATCCAGTTTATTTCTGATGAGGATTGTCCGATTGTAATAAGGATCTACTCGTTTGCATCGAGCCAGAGTCGATAGATTAGCTGCATCCCCAGCCTACATAGAAACCATCACCACAATACATTGAGTAGTACCGACATCAACTACCTCTTCAACACAGAGCATCACATTCCGAGGGTCGTGCATGAAAGAGCTGACCAGATCATCTATCTGGTCGGCCAAGGACTGCTTCTCCTTATCAAGGGCGAACTCCCTGAGAAGAGTATGTTGTTGGTGATGATGATGACCAGTACAACATACCGGAAGCCTGGTAGATCGGTGATCTGCATATCTACACAGTGTTTGCCTTCCACCCTAACATAGATCGGATCTCTTGTAACGTTAGCACCAAGGGACTCATGAGCATCAGAAACCATTCTCAAAACCTGGAATGGATTGTCCAGAGCATGCAAAGGGGGACGAAGTTATACTTGCGGTAAAGTCTTTTCTTCCCAAACTTGAATGGATGTGTTGAGTATTTGCCATCGTGATGTGGTGAGCTTAGGATCATTACGAAACTCTAGTACTGTGGGCCGCCTAGAGCCCAGTGTTCCAGACACGAAATTAAACTGATAAAGGGAGGAGGATGAAACAGTAGCATAGAGGCGTACTACCTGTTCACCAGCTAGGGCCTCAACCAGACGACTCTTCCCTACAGATTGACGGCCGATTAGAATGAATTGTGGTATAGGAAAGTCCACCCCAGCTAAGGAGACACGAATTCGAGATGACTCCCTCGACAAGACCAATAGTACTGAGTTTATCCTGTACCCTTGATTTAATCTGTGATATTAGATTGAGCAGCTCACTACGAGAGCTGAGGGCCCCTGCAGTGCTGCCGATGGTATGGGCCCGTCCCTCTGGTGAGGATTTACTATCATTCACCACCTCATTAGTCGACACCATCGTTACACCAGAGACCCAAAAACGCTAGGCAGAAGCAAGCTCGGCCTCAGCTTGCCCTGGAACTTCCTCCCTTTTAGTGATACCGACTAGCACAACACTAACGTGTTAAAAGTACCGAAACATGTTCCATAGCAGTCGACTATAACCGTCACTAACCCTGAAGTTACTTGTCTTCCACCTCGAAGCCCTCAGCCCTAATGAAGAGTTCTCGAGGTGTACAGCATCCCTATCACCACTACCTCAAACACTGATTGTGTGCTAGGATGAACTGTCTACATTTAGCCTCGCCATTCATCACTATACACTCATCACGTGCCGCCTTAGTCTCCTACATGCCAACTCTAACAGGATGAACTACGCTTTGTACGACTCACCTTGCACACACAGCAAATCCTTTTCCCCGTGGTAGGAGACACTTTGGGATTACATGGACCTTTGGACCCACCATCCACAACAGGTGTCGATTCAGCAGTGGGTGTAGGCGTCGTTGATCCAGTAGCAGGAGAGTTACCCATCGCAACAAGAGCTCTCAAACTGAGGCTAACTCCCTACGTTAACTAACACTCCAACAAAACAACAACATAATAAAGTTAAATGTAAGAAACGCACAGGTCTGTTGAAGTCATTCCAACTTACCAACACCTGACGTACTATTCGATATTATCACATCAGGGCCTGCTGAGGGACTGTGTACCAACCAGTCAGTCGGACTATAGGCTTCTATTCGCCGTATCAACGAGCGGCCATAGTATCTACAATACCCGTACGACAGTCGATGGAAAGAGATAGATATCATTACTTAAACCAAACGACGCCGAAGACGATACCCAACATGCAGGTAACGTAAAACGAGTCTATCATAAGCTCGCCAGTCGCCGGGCTCTTTATAGAGAGGTAATCGAGAGCTGCAATAACGTTAGAGTAGTCTAAAGAGATGCAAGGGGGTACTGGCATTTACCTCTTAGTCCCAGTTGCTGCCCAAGATTACCACCTATATTGGAGACGTGTTCAAAAACGTCTGAGCAGGGGCATTGGTGATACGA